CAACACTAATCATTGGATGAGGGTCAGGCTCCCTAATATCAGGGTCCCTTCTCTCATCTAATGAACTCTATTTTATAGTTTGATATAGTCCAAATTGTAAAACACGTCTCCTTGAAAAAAATGCTACCATTCCATTAGTAAAATATAGATGGGATGCTATAGAAGTCTTGTTTAGCCCAATTTAGCCCAGCGTAAGCCCAATCCATGTATTTAATTATGTCCTCGTTTGGTCCATTTACTTCAAAAACCAGTTGCTCTACTCGCACTTGTCATCCCTTCATCCACCCTACTCACATGTTTATGTACGACTTGAATTTAAAATTTCTTGTTTCATTTGGAGGACAGTTTACTGTTAGATTAAATGCTTATGTGGTTGACACGACTACTTATGTTAGTCTTTTAAGATTCAATGCTATTTGAGTATTTGGGTCTTTATTAACTTATTTGATAGGCAAAGCATTATTTTTGGTCAAGAGGAAGCACTATTTTTGGTTTCTAAAGCAAAATATAGTGTATTTAATCACTTGAATCTACACCATGTTTTATTTTTGTTTTTTTTAGGTTGTTGTAAGCTAAATAAGCTAATTATATGAGTTTATTTCACACTTGAAAAATGGTTTCCTTAAGTTTTTTTTTGAACAGCAAAAAATACTATATATAATAAACGGAGTACAAGGGGTACCCCAAACCCATACACATGACAATTAGAAGGCATAATATTACAAAAGAAGGGCCTTCCGATTGGAAACTTACAAATGGTGTCAACACCATAATTAAGTGTCGACACTAAACCGTGACGGATTTCTGTTCACTTTAGCCTTTCTTCATCAATCGCTGTTCAGATCCTCAAAGGCTACCCAGCTTTCAACCCGAGTGGCATGCAAAGATATTGAGCATGCCTTGACTACAGCTTAAATAACACTACAGTCAAAAATTGCTCAATGAAGTCATTACCTTAGGTTGACAAGAGCCCCCCATGAGCCCTTTTCCTGCATCAATGATAGTTTATATGTCTCTTATCCTTCAAGCATTCCATAGGTTCAAACATCCAATTACATAAATCAAAGGAATACCCTAGTGATCTATTTTTGATCCATTGGAATGACCGCAGCTGCACCAGCTCAAAAATCCTATTGATGTCCTGTTCTTGATTCCTGAAAGCCCTCTCATTTCTGGCAATCCATAAAGACCAGATTATTGCACAGCACACCGCATCCCACCCTGCTCTGTTGTTTGCATTTTTAAAGGAGGCTGGTTGTTGTTCAAATGAAGCATAGCAATTCTCAGCTCTAACCGATGAGATCCTCCACCATTGAAGACATTTAGACCACACTGAGTATGCAAAGTTACAATGGAGAAAGAGGTGGTTTGTATCTTCAATACCCCCATTGCATAAGGTGCAAGTAGCTAGGTTGAGATTTTGGACAATGCCTCTTCTATACAAATTCATCTTAGAGGGGATTCTATCTTGTATGGCTTTCCACACAAAGGCGCATACTTTTGTGGGGACAAGCCTGCACCACACCCTTTTATACAAGCTGTTCCTCCTTTCATGTTGGTCGCTAGAAAGAGCTTGATATCCTGATTTTGCTGAATAAGCACCTTTATCATGCCTCCACTTCCATCGGTCCTTTTGACCCTTAATTGGTTGGATGGTTTGCAGCAGCCTCCACAGCTCCGACATCGAGTTTTCCTCCCAAGAAAAGATGGGTCTCCTCCATTTCAATGTCCAGGTCCAGCTTCCATAGTTCCAGTGTCCCAATTGAGAAATGCATTTAGTTTTATCTAACGAGTTCAAAAAAAGTCTAGGAAATTTGTTAGCTAATGGGATATCCCCTAACCAAACATCCTCCCAAAACCTGACAGAATTACCCTCCCCCAATTCTAGTGTAAAACCATCAGAAAGCCAGCCAACCCTACTAATGTGTAAATAATCTAATCTACATACATCCCTCCACCATAAGGAACCCCTCTGTTTTCCCTCTTCAATCCAATTCAGCCAATTGCCTCCTTTGCTCCCATATTTCTCACGAATTACCCTATATGGTTTCCTTAAGTAATTCTTGCTTGGTATAAGTCTAAGATAAGCTTGACGATGAGCTTAATGATGGGAGTATCCCTTCATGGTACATATAATATTTCCATTAGTTTCGGAATACATACGGTATAGACAAATTGGCTGTAAATCTTGAATGGACCCAGAATGGTTGTAAATCTTGAATGGACCCTGAACCAACCATGCTTAAGGCAAAGTGGTGTAACAAACACCTATACTGTAGATTTTAATGCTGTTTTTCTTCACATAAAAAGGTAAAAAACCCTTTTTTAATCTCATCTAAATTTTAAAATACCCTTCTTACTGTTTGATTATGATGAGCTGATGAAGGGATGGCATTCCTTTAGTACCTAATTATTTTATTAGGCTATTTTGCATTATGATTTGTTAGTTATTGCCTGGATTTGAATCTTGATTTTGACCTCAAAACTAAGTGATAGATATTTGCATTCCATATTTTTCTTACTTTGTGTTTTGTGCCTGAAACTTCTAAAGTTTTCTGTGCTGATAAGGATTATTCTTGAACTTTACTCTTGTTTTTAATCAGGCATGACCGACACTAGAAGCATGTTGCAAAGAAGAAAATGAATACGAAACTGTTCTTGCTTAGGTAAGCCAACTTATATAAGGGAGTAACATTTGTCCGTTCAGTAATTTGACAGTTTGTCATGTAGTTGTATCAACATGTTTAAGAGGGTATTTGTTACTCGGTGATTTGTGTTTGATATTCGGTATCTTTGGAGATGTAAGTTTGCTTGATGTTACTATTCCCACTTCTGTGTTCACAATTTTTTAGTTAAGTATCTAAAAGGAGAATCAATATAATGAGGTTGAATTTTATTTTCTGCTTTGATGGCTTGATATTAAGTTGGGAAGAAATTTGAGGATGCTGGAATCTTTTGGGGATAGACACATACATAAATGATTCACACAATTACATCTAGATTCAGTCTTATCTAATGGTAAAAATGATTTCATTTTGTTGGGGTGTGAATTGATATGCATTAATATTGTGTATGCATAATCTCTCCACATGAATGTAATGTCACTCCTCCCTTTCAATTCATTTGTTTTGGTACGGGATCACAAAGCGTAGGTGAAATTCTCAATTGAGGGCGTAAAGAAGGAAATGATATTGGGCAACTGCAACTGAGGCTTAGTTTGAGAGTGTTAGCTTGTAACTGCAACTATTGGGTTTTTTATCTTTTAACGTCTTAAAAATATATAAAATATATTTAATATTTATTTTCATTAATTTTTTATATACCTTTAGAATATTAAAGAGACATAAAAACCAAAAGTTAAAGCACCAAGAAGCGTTGTCAAATGAAGTAAAAGAGTTAAATACTCTTGATGTTTCTTTCTAGTTGCAGTCTTCTTTTTAGTTGTAGTCTCTGATCAGTGTATAATTTGACTTGATATTTTAATATAGCAAGGAGTTAAAATACGCCTGATATTTCTTTTTAGTTGTAGTCCTTGGTCATTATATAATTTAACTTGATATTTTTATATAGCAAGAGACTGATAATTGAAAAAAGCGTTATATCAAATTACATCCAAAATTTAAACGGCAAAGGAGTGTGCTCTAAGTCCGGATGTTCTCCTTTTTAATCCGAAAGTTAAAGACTGATATTTTCTTTGTTCTCTTTTCCTCTTCTAAGAACCAGTCGTTTCATTTTGGGTTTCATGTATTTCATTTAGATTCAAGCATGCACTTCTAATGTACAGTCTAGATTGAAACACTTTTTTGTTTCATTTTTACGGTTTCTATTCCCTTTTGGTTTCTCTGTTGTTCAATCTTTTCCTCAACTATTCGTCCTTTTGCCTATATATTTCTTCTCCCTTTCCTTTTTCTCTTCTATTGTTTAAATTTTAAACTCAAATCTGTTGATCCCTCATATGTACTACTGTTCTCTTTGATGAATTTTCAGGAGTAAAGTAATGCCTGATCAAAGGAGTAGGCAAATAATAATAGTTAAGGTTGTGCTTAAGCAAACTTACTTGCATTGCCCTTTTCTTTTTAAGTTTTACTATTTATTTTATCTCCTTTTGTGCTTTATATATTTATCTAATTAGTTGTAAGCCCTTGATCTATAAAATCAAGCGTTTTTACCTTATGTATATTTTTCTTGAATAGCGAAGAAAATATTTTTATTAATGAAATACAAGGAGTATTCTTGTCCGTTTACATCTAACCACCGTTACATGCCTTACTATCTTTTTGTTTATCAATAAAATTTTAGTTTAGTTGAAAAAGGGAAATGGGGAAGCACCGGGTCCATTTTTCATGAACCCTTTAGGGTCCATTGTTGCAGCACTGAGTGCAAATCTCCAATGCGGATTCATTAAGAAATGGTGTAGGTCACTC